AAACCAGTCGCTTTATCCTCGCAAATCATACACACTAACGGCTGATCATCCTCATCTGTGGGCTCATGTGGCGCATCTAAGCCTCGACTCAGACCCGTCGCATTTGAGCTACCCCACTGCTGTTGCGCGCTCAAATTTAGTGCGTGAATTTGTCCAGGCGGCAATTGCGAGTAATCGCCCGCCCACAGCCGCTCCATATTGAGCGCATGTGGCGTGCGAAATTGGTGAGGGCGTGGTCGCACATCTTGTATGCGGGTCTGGCCGAGCGAGAGCAATAGCTGCGCCGCTTCTTCGTTGTTTTGCAGCGAAGGACCAGGCGTGTGTGTCGGTGTAAGAGAGCCCGCCGAGGGCGATGACGCAGACTGCAGTGATGACTGTGATGAGTGATGCGACTGTTGGGAGAGCGAAGACATAGAGGATGGCGGATGTTGCTGCAACAGTGGTTGCCCATGTTGATGCAATGGCGTCGAAGGCGGTGTTTGATGCATACCACTCGAACCACTATTGCTACTGCTGCCGCCATGTGTAGGTGATGGACCTGCTGTGGGGGGTGCCGGCTCGTAGCCCCAAACCATAGTGCGTACGCCACAACTTTCACCCATGATGACGGTCGGAGTTCCGCGTGGCGGTGTTTGCGAAGGCGTCTGTGGTGACAGCTGTGATGACGACGAGGATGAAGAGTGATGTGGCGAAGGTGATTGCGCGGGTCCACCAGGCCGCAGATTACCCAACGGTCCTCCTATTACCTCCGGTTTGACGCCGTTTATGCGCGCGTTCGATACCCAAACCATGCGTTGTGCAGCCGCGGCGGCGGCGGCAGCAGCACCTGGCTGCATGAGCTGCGCAGCGGCCACCTGCTGGTGCACCTCGTTCTTCACGCGAAAAAGTATACCGGCATCTCGACTGGGATGGCGTAGCGACTGTAGTGAGGCTGGATGTATCAGCTGTGCGATATTACCCAGCGTCTGTGGCGGCAACTGCGGCGCTGATTGTTGTTGTTGGTGCTGCGGCGATGAAGGGTGGTGGTGATGTGGTGAGTGTAAGTGGCGTTGCCCGACGCCGCTGTTACCCAACAAGCTGCCTGCGGCGGCGGCGGCGGCTAGCAGTTGCGCGGGCTCCTTCTTGATGCGAGCATGTTGATGCTGCTGTTGCTGTTGTTGTTGTTGGTGCTGCTGCATGAGATGCTGGTGTGGCGATGACTGATGTCGCGCGCCAGGCGATGAACTCATAGCGTTAGGCGACATTTGCGTTGGACGCTGCGACATCGCGGCTGCTTGCTGCAGCAGCTGGAATTGCTGCTGTTGCGTCAAGTGCTGCATGGATTGGTTGAGCAGGTGCTGCTGCGGTAAACTCATACCTGTTGGCGGACTGCTCTTCCGCAGCTGCGGTTGTGTGAGCTGTTGGTGCAGGTGATGGGTCTGCACGATTGGCGGCGGCGGGTGATGTAGATGTTGGTGATGCAACGTTGCCGCCGCGGATGTTGGTAATGGCGTGGGCGATGGCGAGCTAGCGTGTAGTGACGATGTGCTAGCGCTGCTAGTTGTAGTCACCGTCGCGGCGGAGGAGGAGGATGATGTGGCTGAGGCGGACGCAGTGGCCACAGACGTAGAGAAGGCTGGGTGGTGGTGTGTCAGATGTTGCAATGAAGTTGGCGGCATTTGCGGCGTATGATGCTGCTGCGACGCTGATTCAGACTTAATACGTGACGGCGTCACCAGCACTGTGACATGCTGCTGCGACTGCGTGAGACCTTTGGATTGAGTTGGTGTTGGCGCGGACTGCGCGTGCTGCTGATATTGCATTTGCTGTTGCTGCTGCTGATGATGCTGGTGCTGCTGGTAGGATAGCATTTTCGTGGGCGAGGCAGCTATGCGCTCTTCCTTTACTGAGCGTATGACACTTAAATTGCTAACTCCACACTCGGCGCCCGCAGATCCCTGCATGCAATCGCCGCCTGCACCACCGCTGCCAGCTACATGCATTCCATTTGTGGAAAGCTGCGTGCCGCCCGTTGTTGTTGTTGTGGTCGTGGAGGGCCGCTCATCCATGGAGTCTGGCGAGGCGCGACTACTACCACCATTATTACTTGTGCCACAACTGCTGCTCGCATTGCCATTATTATGCGGTGGTGTTGGCGTAGTTCGCGTAGGCGTAGTGACATTGCTAGGCGTACGACGGCCTGCTGGCAAGCTCAGATCAGTCGCGGGCGCAGGTGACATGCGCATAGTTGTGGTTAGTGGCGGTGACATCACAGACGAGGCGGCCGCTGCGCTAACAGTGCCGCTGGACGAGTGAATTTCAGTCTGTTGTTGTTGTTGTTGCTGCTGCTGTTGCTGTTGCTGCTGATGTTTTTGTTCAGCTTTCACAGCTGCTGCCTTGCTAGCGGACACAACTACCGTTGTGGTGGCGGCGCTTGGAGGCATGGGCGCACACACATTGTGACCGATATTGCTGCTGGTGGCAGTTGGCATGCCGCTGCTGCTGGTCGAGCAGGCGGTGGCGGGCGCAATGGTGGAGGTGGCGGTCAAGGTGACGACGGAGAGTGCACCGCCGCCGACGACGCCACCTCCATGACCGCCGCCGCCACCGCCAGCACCGGCACCGCCGGTATCGCACATTTTTGGTGACATCGGTGCGAGTAGATCGGGCGAGGAGGTGGAGGTATCGGCTACTGATTCGCCATCACTGCTGCATCTTGAATCGATTTTTCGTCGTTTCAATTTTAGGTCCTGAAAAAGGCTCATTTTATCGAGCTCGCTGTACGGGCCACGGCTCAGTGTCATAATTCCTGGAAAGAGAGAGAGAGAGAAAGGAGTGGGAGAGATTTGTTCAATTAGTTGATTAAAATCAAATTAAAAGGAGAAAAAAAAGAAATTTTGTTAATATAAAATATGTACATATGTACATAAGAATTTAGGATATTATGAAATAAAATTAGGTGGTCACAACATTAGCATAAAGTATATGGAAAATTCGACTTTCTTTCGGCAAATCTCAATAGTTTCTGAGTACATTTTTATTTTTAATTGTTTTAGCCCAACCACTCATCAAATTCCGCGCAAATTTGCCTCAGACTAAGGGACGTTTTTACAGTGGGGATTTAACTCACATTCAGCAGTTAACTTTACGTTTTCGTATGGAAAGTGTAGACCAAACTTCTAAATGTGAGTTAACTTTCCACTGTGAAAACGGCCTTAGACGTATCTACTGAAACCTAACGACATCTATGAAATGAAGAGCGCTTCGTGACTTCTGAACTTATTAAAAGCAGTGGAACAGGTTGAGATTGCTACCACCGACTAGAAAGTCTGCAATGCAGTGGTCTGCGACGCTTTCCTGTAGTTATAAAAGCCAGAGTAGGCAAAAATGTGTACGTACATACTTAAAGTTGCCTGTAAAAAGCAAGTTTTTTCCAAACGCAAATACTTATGCAATACAAAAACAAAACTGAAAAAATTTCATTAACACTAAAGAAGGTGAAGGTGTTAAACATATTGGAAGCCCGGTAATTTGATATCACCCGGCAGCATAGCATGGTGGTGTAACAGTTGGCGCCAGTTATAATATTTAATGTAATATCAACAACAAAAGCAATTGCATGTGGTGCCGATATTAAACGTGCGTGTATGAAATGTATGAATGAGGCAAAGAATATTT